AGGGGGGGGGGGCCCCCTACATTAAACAGGGTGCCACATTACTTTGCAGTTGGCATGCCTACATGAGTGCATGACTACGTGACAATTCTCCATGGCGCGGTTCAGAGACTGCGAAGGGGCACAGTCATGATGCCTAGCCGAGGACCTTTCCGAAATTCCATTTCCGTTAAGATGCATCATTATGGGGTTCTTGAACCAGCTACGGATTACTAGCGGCTAGAACCATCCTCCTGTTTTGCTCCACGGCGCGCGTCCTTGTACAGACATCGCCAGCTGCACCTACAGCACCTGGGGATTAGGAATCTGGCTAACATCAACCGAGAGCCCAGCTGAGAATTAATGTAGCAGAGGTCAGCAACGCTGTTTTTTGAGTACGCTACTTTGGTTCGCTGCCCAACATTGCAGCCCGATCAGGAGACTAATCCCTCCCCCTAGTAATGCACCCCCACACCCCTAATACTGAACATTCTCAATAATAGAGTATAACTGCCTTCAAGTAGAAATGCAATACTTGTCTTTAGGGAGGGGATTGTTGCAAGGGGCAGGTGGTTACTCTGAAGACGGGCGCTATGCGTTGCCGATCCTTGTCCCAAAGAGGGTTCCCGTAATGCCTAAAGGTGGATGGTACTTCAAAGGGTTTGGGGTTTGGGGATATGACGGTAATATCTACTATCCTCCTTATTATGGGACCCCAAAATCATATCCCTAACTCTGGAAATCCCCCAGACGGAATATTGGACAATGAAACGGAAAATGAAGTGGAAATGAATCCAAAACCCGGATCACAACAATCTGACAGAATCCTTGCTGTTGTTTGGACATCTCACGAGTGGTTTTTTGCTGATGCTGGCCGGACGACCTTAGACTCTGCCGGAGCAGCGCATGCTTTGCCAGCTCGAAGTGAACAGCCGCAAAGGCTGGCAGCTCTTGGTTCTTGTTTTAGCAGCTATGTAGGCCAGTCAGCTTAGCATCAAGTTCAATAGGATCACCAGACCAAGTGCTTCGGTTTATTTCTTCAAGCTAGAAAGAACCTTCTGGTGCTAAAGGGGGGGTGGGGGAGTGAATATGAGTACCATTATAGGGGTAGATCTGCGGACTTTATGGGGATTATCATAGACATCCAATGCCCCACTCCGTTGAGCCGTTAAGCACCAGTAAGAGAACCAGAAGCCAGCTGAACATGGCCGTTGCGAGCGCCGCTGCCTTTCCAGCGCACTCTTTTTCCACAGCACGCGCAGGGTTTAGGCATTAGGGTTCAGCCAGACTGTTGGGGTAGTACGGTAGTTATGCACATACCTGAAGGTGACGAGGCAAAGTGAGGCAGTGACACACCGATACCGGCGGATAAGCCAGACCATGGGGCGAGATGATGGAGTAGCCAAAGTAGTAGTGATGATTCGTAGTGGTAGTTGCTGGCTGCACTTTCCAGCATCCCTTTCACATGGCGCTCCATCCTGTTCTTAGCCTTTCGATCGGAGTTGGGCTGCCCGAAGAAGCTGACATCCTCCCGGGAGGAGGCCGAAAGAGTTTCTTCACCTTCCCCAAAGAGTGCTGCTTTAAAACTGATGGTCGGAATCATGCAGGTGCGAGTTTGATTATTCTGCTCAGAAGCTTTCTTTGCGCCATCCTTGCCAGGCTCGGTTGCTCCAAAAACTGGGCCTGGGGCCGAAGATAGCACGGAGAAGCCAAGTGCCCTTCTGGATGCTTTGCTCAGCCTTTCGGCTTGATTTTGCCTTGTGTGATGTCAAATTCTTTTTGGCATCGTTGTGAACGTCTACAACGCAGTAGTATCCATAAGTCAGCCTGGCTGAGTATGCTAGCTTAGACCTCTTTCAATCTTGTGCGCCCTGCCTAACAGTTTCTGTGGGTAGGAAATCAAAGATTGGCATCCTGACAAAGGCTTTCAAAGTTCTGAAGCTCTTGAAATTGGTTTACTGCAAAGGCGATGATCTGGATTCTGTGAGGGCCCCAAAACTGAAAGACGTTCAAGAGGACCTGCCTTCAGGCTCTAGCATGAAATTCTTCAAGCGGGCCGCCAGAACACATCAAAGAGGACCACTTCCAAAACAAGAGGTCGAACGTTACCGATGACACTGTTCAGCGTATCCTTCGTAGCCTTGCCTTGCCGAGGTTCAGATGGAGACATGGCTGCCGCTGCGATGCACTGACACAGGGGGGTTCCAAGAATTAGGGTCCCTTACATTGGAGCTTTCAACTTATGGAACCCTCACAGGGATTGTCCTAGCTTTCTTGCGGCTTGTTTTGCCAGAGCCCAGGCCAGCCAGCCAATGGAGAAGGAGGAATATAAGGACCCTGGTAGGTGCTCCAAATTAGGGGATATAGGTATTACCCAAATAGCGGAGAATCACATGGAAAAGACAATGGAACATGACGTGGAAACCAAGAGGATTCCTATTATATTCCTATTATATTCCTATTATATTTAGGGGGCTCAAAAGGTGGGATGAAGGTAGGTGGGGTAAAGGAAGTAAGCCCCAATATAATAGAATCTACTAACCCACCTGGCTTTATCCCACCTTTTGAGCCCCCTGATATATTCATACTACATTCTTGGGGTCCCTGGTTGGGCTTCCCATTGACGTCCCCTTCAAGGAGGAATACACCGGCGTCTTCTCTTTGAACATCTGCTCAATGAGCGACAGCGCGACAAGCCTGGAAGTTTCTGCCGACGCTGCCCAGTGCTGAGCTGGGTTTAGGGTTTAGGGTTTAAGGGTTTAGGGCTAGGGTTTAAGGGTTTAGAGTTTGGGTGTTATGGAGTTTAGGGTATGGGGGTTTAGGGTTTAGGGGTAGTATATAGGAGTATGGTGTCCTTTTGTCGGTGTGCAGGTTAGTGGAGGTGGAGTACGGACGTCAATTTGGAGGGCTTGTATAGTGGAATCCTGTTGTGCCAGCTACCATCACGAGTCTGCGTTCAAAAAGGGGGAGTATATAAGGGTTATAAGTAGGGATAATGGAAAAGAAAATGCAAACTACCATGGTGTATTAGGGTTATGACTTGGGATAATGCAAAAAAAGGAAACTACTATTGGAACAGAAACTGGAAACTATTATAGTGTATTGGGGTTATATAGGGATAAGGGAAAAGAAAATAGAAACTAGCATAGTATATTTAGGGTCCTAAAACTCCTGAAGCCTCCTTTTGTAAACTGCTATATAATCCCACTTTCCAGTGGTTGGTTGCTTTTGGGCTTCGGCGGGCTTTCTGGCTGCCTGCGTAGGAAGCACTTATGAGCAGAGGACTACAGTACATAGAACGATGAAATCATGGCAGCAGTCTAGTTGCCTATCATTCGGCTGGCTGGCTACACTGTAGTAGTTTCCATTTTCTTTTCCATAATCCCCATTAATACCCCTAATACATTATATTGGTTTCCATTTTCTTGTCCATTATCCTTTTGAATAACCCTTATATACCAATAGGGTCTGAAGCTCAGGTGATAGAAGACATCAAGAACCGTACGGGCCTCGGCACCATAGCACCGAGTTTGCTTCATGCGGCATTTGATGCAATTTTCCTCCAAAGAGTCCGATAGGCAACAGATCAGTTCTGGACTCTAATCTGAACATTTAGCTCAAGCCGCAAACTTGAAATTCCTAGTAGACCTTGAGAAGGTCCCCACACAGATTCAAGCTCTCCACAATGAAATGCCCAGAGCACCTGACTAACAAGGTGCGGGGCAGGACTTGGTTCTCCTTCCGCAGCGTGGCACGGGCTCAGTTCTCTTGGACGTGGCCTCCGGCAAGGCTCAGACCATTTGGCTTGCTTTTTTGTCAGGGCTTGGTAGGTGCGAACGCGTTCCGATAGTGGCTGATGATTCTGATGTGATTTAGAGAGAGGTGTGTGTGGCCTGTGCTGTTTTCGGGTAGCTCCAACCACAGGATTTTACCTGGGTTGGGTTGGCAAGTTGAGTCCTGTATGCAACAGGATGGATTCAGCTGGCTGGAGTGAACATTCCAGTATGCTCAGTAAGTTGGGCCAATGGTTCTGCTCCAATCAGGCACCCAAGGCAATCTGGGCTTCACACAAGATTGCAAGCAGGTACAAGCGGGTTGTTTGCTGGTCAAACTGGTCCTTCTCCAAGAAATGAGTCAAGCGTGGACACAGACATCGAAGAACATCGAGTTCTGCCCATCACGTACGCTTCCGCTGTCATTCTCAGATGGCCTTGGAATTTGACTGCAGGCCTTTTCTGCTTCGTGTTAGCCCGTTGACTGCAGGTTCTGCCAGGCAACGGGACGGTCCGCTCTTGTGGCCTATCTCGCAAGAGCAAACTTCTTCTACTCGGAAAGTCCAGACTGTCGCTCGGTTGATCGTTTCTTTGAGGTTAACCCATTTGAAAACATAAATAGTACGAACAGTAACGGTGCTCCATGTCACCGAGGTATGCCCCGAAGGATTTGCACGTCTCTGCAATCTTGGTCTACACCCAGCTGGCCAAGATGAAGTATGTGCTGGGCAAGCCCCACTGCTTACGGGAGAATGAAGACCTCCTGCTCCGTGTGGACACTTCAGAGTTGGGAGCTCAGGACCCAGGAAGTGCTGGCTTTGGGGTGTTGACCTTGCAGCTGTGAATTCAGCCATTCTCTTGCTAGTATTGGTGTTATATTACTATTACTGTTACTGTTACTAGTACAATTATTGGTAATTGTTGTGTCTATTATTACTAGCTTGGGGTATCGGCGCCTCCTAAGACCGTCCCATTGCTTTGGCTTTAGTTTGCTCAAGCTCGTCGCGCTTTAGACCCTTGGTGCCATGGCCATGCTCACGTTGGCAGGTCTTCTATTCCCGGCCCTTTCAGCAGCCCAAGGAGACTACCAGAAATTCCTGAGCCAGTATGCCGCGCCATACCAAGGCTACATGCGGGGAGGTGGCGACAACCAGGGCAGTCCAGATTACCAGATGTACTACCAGAAGTACATGAAGTATGGTGCAGGTGCGGGCGGCGGCTTTGAGAACTTTGTGTCGAAATATGCCGGTAACTATGCCAGCAAGTATGTGCCATCTTCGGACGTGAACATGCAGAAGTCCGGGCCTGTCGGCCAGCCTGTCAGCTTTGCTGCAGTGAATGATGTTGCTGAGGGGAATCTGGGACTTAATCGCCCATGAATCGAAGTTGTTCATGAAGTATGGTGCCTAGTACTAGATTTTCTTGGTGTGGCATGCCAGTCTACTGAGAGAGACATAACATGATGTAAAATAGTAATAGTGCTAGAAATAATAGTAATAAGAATAGTAATATTAATCGTAATAGCAGTACTATAGTACTATTAGGAACAATAGGAGTTGAATGCCAAGGAGTTCCAGCTCCAGCTCTCAAGGGGGAAAGGAGGAACCGGGCTCTCAGGCAGACGGATTCCAGAATTTCATGGATTTCTCCAAGTACACCCAGAAGTACGGACCACAGGGTGGAGACAGTGGCAATTATCAAAAGTACTTTTCCCAGTACATGAAGCAAGGGCAGGGCTCGAAGGGAAGCGGCTACGAACAGTATGCTGACTTTGCAAATTATTTGCAGAATGGTGAAATGACGGGTGGCAGTGGCAAGGGCTACATGGAATCTTATGCCAGCAAGTTCATGAACGGTCAAGGCGCTGGTGGGCGAGGATACGAGCAATTTGCCGATTTCTCCAAGTACATGCAGCAGCACAGCTCGCAGTCTAGCAATTTCAAGGATTACATGGAGTCATATGCTGGTGAGTACAAGGGTTTCATGAAGCGCGCAGGGGCCGGGGCCGGCGCCGCAGACGCCGCGCAGCGTAGCAGTCCCATGCTGCTGTCTGCGGCAGGGGGGAGTTCGGGTTCCCAGCCGAAGGAGCAGCCGCAATCCGAGCAGGCTGAGGAGGAACAGCGTGAGCGCCAAGAGCGCCAGGAAGAGAAGCAACGCTTGCAGGATGAGCTGCAGTCCGAAAGGGCAAGTCTCCATGCAGAGCTTGCTGCGGAACAAGCCAGGCTGAGGGAGGAGCTCGCTGCTGAAGCCAAGCAGGAAGCAGCGGCAAAGGCTGCCCAGACACAGAAAGGCAGGCATACAGCCAGCCCAGCGCTGTTGGTAGCCGGCCAGGATAACTCAGAGCAGGAGAGCACTGAGAGCACTGAGCGCAAGGAGGAGAAGCAGCGCCTTGCAAGCGAACTTGCTTCTGAACGTGCCCACCTGCGTCAAGAGCTGGCTGCAGAGAAGGAACACTTGCGCCAAGAGCTGGCAGCCGAAGCCAAGCAGTCCGAGCAGGCTTCCAAGCCTAGTGCAGGTGGACCGGCCTCTATGCTGGCCATGCCGGGCAGGAGCATGCCCTTGCTCCTTGGAGGTAGCGCCCTTGCAGCCGTTCTTGTCACGCTTGCGGCAGGTGCCACGAGGCTCTGGCGTCAGCGTTGTGTACTAGTGCAAGAAGCCGAAGACTACCTGATCTATGTGGAGGCGCCCCTTGAGCTCGCCTGAGCCTATTCAGCGCATTAGAGCAGAGCAAAACTGCAGGCCAGCAAAGCCAGGTACCATGTCACAGCTTGTGAGACCAGATCAGTGCTCCGACTCTAGTTGACTTTGCATTACTTTGCTGACCTGCTCTGACCTTTAATTGTTGGCTACACAGGCCGCTCGTTTTGTTATCGGGTCGAACCATGCTTTGGCTCTATAGGCTCTATGCAGGTCTTTGCTGTAGGAACTCTCTGCCAGGATGCCCAAGTGTAAGTAAAGTTCACAGTACCTGAAAGCACGGTCCGTACCTGAATGTGCATTGGTTTCAACTCTGGCCATAGCCAAGTACTCTTGCGAAGTCCACGCGGTGGAGTTTGCTTTGCAGGTGAACTTTTGAGCCTTGATGCGTTTTCCGTTTGGAAGGGAACGACATATGCGCAGCCCTGGCGTCTCTGTGCTGAGTGATTTCTTTCATGTTTCCGTCATGACATTCCCTCTCAGCCGGGATCAACATCCTTGTAACCATGTCATGCCCTGCCGAGACACCTGGGTGACATGCTTTTACTCCAGACCACAAAGGGCACAGATCCCCTTTGTTGGAGAATTCTGAGACCGCTTGGCAGAACGAGGCACGAGATGACTCTAAACAATTCCGGCTCCCAATGCGCAATCAGGCGTGCCAACACCATGACCCACAATGTCGCGGTTCGCAATAGCTGGATTCTATTGTTTTGGGATGTATCTAGGGGACCCACACTTGGCACCTACAAAGCTTTTCTATGGTAACAGCACCATCAAACTATCACCGAATGACATGGGAGCTGAAGTTGACAACACAGGTATGCCGGGACCCTGAGTGGTGTGGAGATCCCGGGTGGTCCCCTTGGCCGATTCATGACCCGCAACTGAGGGTTGTGGTGTCACACCTGATGGATTCCTTTTGTGTTGTTCAGCTTGCACGATGCCACGACGGAGGCAGATCCAGGATGCAGAAACAATAGTAGTAGAAATAATGATAACAATAATAGAAATTCAGCAATTAATTAGTAATAGGAATAGGAATAGTGACAGTAATTGCAGCGGCAATTCAAACAGCTCAGCATGCAGGACGCTTCCAGTCGGGTCTGATCATTCGGCACAGCGAGTGGACAAGGTGTCGCCCGAGTGCAAAGCTGTTTGTTGGGCTGGATATTAGAGTATTCAGGCCCTAACTAAAGTCCTATTATTTGGGTCCTTGAACCCCTATATGGTCCCTATATATCCCCCTAAGGGCGAGGGGGTTGCATATGTTGGCCAAGTCCTATTTGCTGTGCAGTTTTGGATGCATGCGCAGAATAGTTCTTCAGAGCCCCTGTGCTCTCAAAGAGCCGCGTTGGGCAGGGCAGCACCGGTGTCAGGCAAGTGTGAGTGCAAGGTGGGATACAACATGCACCGGAGATACGTACTTAGTTGAGCATACTGGCATACAGTGTGATACAGCGGCGAGACGCCTAGAGTATCTGCATGGAGCAAGGGCTGAGAACGGATTCATGAAACCACTTGAATCAAATTCGATTCAGAGGCAGCCAATTCAACCCTCCCTCATCTTATTTGATTTGAGGGCAGGACCTAAGGATAGACTCCACTGTCATGTGGTTTTACCATGAAGACGAGGCCCGCATCCCCACATACATTGGTTGCAGCATTGTTGGCACGGCTATAACATTTCCTGGGTTTCCGCGACCATCAGTACCACCACTACAAGTCTACATCTGATAGCCAAGAGCTTGTCATGAGGGTTCATTGGCGAAGGAGGGAAGGTCATGTCAATAACGACAGTGGCACAAGAAGACCTTGCAACCCAAGCGCCCGGAAGGAAGACGTGAGGGAGGTCTACATTCCGCTGAGCCGCCTGCGGCGATATCTGACGGGCTGACTGCCAGAACTGTCCATCCAGGCCAGGTGCTGTAGTGATTTGGGGGGTTTCCCAAAAATTAGGGTCACCATTTTGGGGGTCCCTTACTATAACAAGGATCGTAGTATGTCCAGGTCTATATTGGGGTTCCCCTATTTTGGGAAACTACCATTTAGCCAAGCTGCAGTGCACTTGCGGAACAACTTTGTTTTCATGATAGCTTCAAGTAAGCAGACAGTAACCACACATGATCTTTGTGCCGTAAGCCCAGGCGCGTGCAAGAAAGTTAGGAGCTTTGGGCATACAGTACATAAGGGGCTGCAAGCGTGCGTGATTTCGCAACCTGAGGCCGCGACTTGGGGCCGCGCACTAAGCTGCTGGATGCTGCTGGCACCACGAGGCCGGATTGCAGAAGCATAGGCAGTATGCGTCTCATCGCCCGTCTCCCACGCAGTTCCTGGAGCACTCGCAACAGTCATCCAAAGGAGGGCAGCGTCAAAAAGAGTAGAGTCCTGAACACCGAACTGACAATGAAGTCTGGCCCACCCCTATACGATTCCACATTTGCTAAGACAGGATGCAGAAAAAATTGAACGCACTGTTGCAGGCGAGTTATCCGGGTGTATGCAGGTGTTGGTCCTGTTGGGTAACCTTCCGATCATGCGCACGGAAGCGAATCGAAGCTAGCCAAGACGGTCCTACCAAGCTCCAGTTTTGCACAAAGTCAGGCGCACTGTGTGCTTGTCAGAAGACGCAGCTTGGATAGCCGTCTTGTCGGCTCAAAGACCACCGTAAATCCTTTCAGCTGGTGGCGTGCGTTGGTGCGCTTCGTATGCTGGTGTGGTAAACGGAACAATGAAGCTATTTCGGCTGCTGCTCAGCCTGCTCGTTTGGGAGCAGGCGGCAGCCGCAAAGGTGCATAAACATG